AGGGTATGTTCATTTGGGTGTGTGTGGTTTTGGTTAGTTCTTGTGTAGTCATGTGACTCCCAATCGGAGGTAACGAGTGTCAGCTGTCGGCTCGTTATCTCTGATTGGGAGCCATATTTATCTGTATGTTTTCCTTTGGGTGTTGTGGGTTTTTGTTCCGTTTCGGTCAGTGTACCGTGGACTTCATGAGTCGTCTTTTGTTTTGTATTACGTGCTTTACTCAATTAAAGTCATGTTTCTTGCACACGCTGCGCCTTGGTCTCCTTCGCTCTTAGACGACCGTGATAGAAAAACCCACCATTCTAGGACCAAGCGGCGTGTCAAGCGGCAACAGGATCCACCTACACAGGATTCATGGACATGGGAGGAGATACTGGATGGAAGGGGTCCTTGGGCACAACCAGGAGAATATCGCCGCCCTCGTGAAGAGCTGGAGGCAGCTAAAGCCGAGAGGAGGCAATATGAGGAGGCAGCACAGAGGCAAGGCTGGAAGCCCGTGAGCACTAGCCAAAAGTTTATTGGGGGGGGCCTTAAAGGGAGTGTGGCGAAGTCAGGTAGGAGACCTGCGCCTACTCCCTGTACTTACCGTGGAGAGCGAGAGTACGGGCAGACACCGTGTTACGCAGTAGAGCGCATGGTGTCTCCTGTACGCGTGCATAGCCCGGTTCGGTACATTCCAGCTCCACGTATCGGCCGGGCTAGATTGAGCGTTGAGCCGGATGTCATGAAGCCGGCCCAACGCATCAGGCCACCAGTGCGTCTCCTCGGGCCGGCTTACATGGCACCAGCCTTACGCATGGTGTCCCCGGTTCGCCTACATAGCCCGGTGCGGGTTATTCCTCCTTCCCGTACTGGTCGGGCGACGGGGAGCATACAACCAGGTAAGGTTGGGCAGGCTCAGTGCTCAAGGGAGCCAGTAAGCCTGCACGGTCCGGTATTTCCGGCGCCACCTCCCCGCTCCAGCCCAGTACCACCAGTGCCTACACCACGCACCAAGCCTCCTGTGTGTCCCCAGAGTCCTGTGCGTCCTGTTGCTGCTCCCCGCACTAGCCCTGAGATGCGTGTCCTCAGCCCGGGACCACCAGTTCCGGCACCACGCACCAGGCCTATAGTGCGTCTCGGCCGGCCAGAGTCTGCCGTCTGCCCAACGGCGCCTGAACTGCCCGTCTGCCCAACGGCGCCTGAACTGCCCGTCTGCCCAACGGCGCTTGAACTGCCCGTCTGCCCAACGGCGCCTGAACTGCCTGTCTGCCCAACGCCGTCTGAACTGTCCGTCTGCCAAGCGCTGCATGAACTGCCCGTCTGTACTGAGCCTGCAAAGCCGCCCGTCTGCCATGAGCCTTCAGAGCCGTCCGCCAGACCGGAGCCGCTAAAGCCTTCCGCCAGACAGGAGCCGCTAGAGCCTTCCGCCAGACAGGATCAGCCAGAGCCTTCCGCCAGACAGGATCAGCCAGAGCCTTCCGCCAGACAGGATCAGCCAGAGCCTTCCGCCAGACAGGATCAGCCAGAGCCTTCCGCCAGACAGGAGCAGCCAGATTCGTCAGCCAGCCATGAGCGGCCAGATCCGTCAGCCTGCCATGAGCAGCCAGATCCGTCAGCCAGCCATGAGCAGCCAGATCCGTCAGCCAGCCATGAGCAGCCAGATCCGTCAGCCAGCCATGAGCAGCCAGATCCGTCAGCCAGCCATGAGCCGTCCAGCCAGGATCCGCCAGAGCCGTCCAGCCGGGGTCCGCCAGCCAGCCAGGATCCGCCAGAGCCAGCCAGCCAGGATCCGACATGCAGTCCGGTGCTGCCCCTTAGTCCGGTGCTGCCCCTTAGTCCGGTGCTGCCCCTTAGTCCGGTGCTGCATCTTAGTCCGGTGCTGCCCCTTTATCCGGTGGAGTTAAGTTGGAGGGTGGTCAGTTGGAGGAGGCTACGGAAGCGGGTAGTGACTATGGTGGGGTGGGGACCACGACCAGAGCCAGAACCACCGCCGAAGAGGTATGCCCACCCAGCCCTCCCTTGGTTAGCCCTAGTTGAGGCGCGGTCGCAGTCCGCGCCTTTAGGGGGGGGTACTGTCACACTCTGGCTCCGGGACTTGTATTTGAGCCAGGGTGTATTCGTGTTGTTGGGGTTTGTTTTGGTTAGGTTGGGAATAGGGTATGTTCATTTGGGTGTGTGTGGTTTTGGTTAGTTCTTGTGTAGTCATGTGACTCCCAATCGGAGGTAACGAGTGTCAGCTGTCGGCTCGTTATCTCTGATTGGGAGCCATATTTATCTGTATGTTTTCCTTTGGGTGTTGTGGGTTTTTGTTCCGTTTCGGTCAGTGTACCGTGGACTTCATGAGTCGTCTTTTGTTTTGTATTACGTGCTTTACTCAATTAAAGTCATGTTTCTTGCACACGCTGCGCCTTGGTCTCCTTCGCTCTTAGACGACCGTGACATGTGTAGTGCGCCTTTTGTTTGTCGCCTACGTGCGTAGTTTCGCCTTCGGGCAAGTTTGTTCTGTTTTCCTTGTTGGATATTCCACTAAAGTCTTTTGGACTATACTTCGGTGTCCTGCGCTTGATTCCACCAATACACCCACCTACAGCATTTATGACACCTTGATATGTTTCTACAACTTCATTGGAGTCCACCTGTGGTAAATTCAATTGATTGGACATGATTTGGAAAGGAACTCACCTGTCTATATACGGTCCCACAGTTGACAGTGCATGTCAGAGCAAAAACCAAGCCATGAGGTCGAAGGAATTGTCCGTAGAGCTCTGAGACAGGATTGTGTCGAGGCACAGATCTGGGGAAGGGTACTAAAACATTTCTGCAGCATTGAAGGTCCCCAAGAACACAGTGGCCTCAATCATTCTCAAATGGAAGAAGTTTGGAACCACCAAGACTTCCTAGAGCTGGCCGCCCGGCCAAACTGAGCAATCGGGAGAGAAAGGCCTTGAGGTGACCAAGAACTCGATGGTCACTCTGACAGAGCTCCAGAGTTCCTCTGTGGAGATGGGAGAACCTTCCAGAAGGAAAACCATCTCTGCAGCACTCCACCAATCAGGCCTTTATGGCAGAGTGGCCGGACGGAAGCCACTCCTCAGTAAAAGGCACATTACAGCCCGCTTGGAGTTTGCCAAAAGGCACCTAAAGGACTCTCAAACCATGAGAAACAAGATTCTCTGGTCTGATGAAACCAAGATTGAACTCTTTGGCCTGAATGCCAAGCATCACGTCTGGAGGAAACCTGACACCATCCCTACGGTGAAGCATGGTGGTGGCAGCATCATGCTGTGGGAATGTTTTTCAGCGGCAGGGACTGGGAGACTAGTCAGGATCGAGGGAAAGATGAACAGAGCAAAATACAGAGAGATCCTTGATGGAAACCTGCTCCAGAGCGTTCAGGACCTCAGACTGGGGCGAAGGTACACCTTCTAACAGGACAACGACCCTAAGCACACAAGACAACGCAGGAGTGGCTTCGGGACAAGTCTCTGAATGTCCTTGAGTGGCCCAGCCAGAGCCTGAACTTGAAGCTGATCGAACATCTCTGGAGAGACCTGAAAATAACTGTGCAGCGACACCCATTCCAACCTGACAGAGCATGAGAGGATCTGCAGAGAAGAATGGGAGAAACTCCCCAAATACAGGTGTGCCAAGCTTGTAGCGTCATACCCAAGAAGACTTGAGGCTGTAATCGCTGCCAATGATGCTTCAACAAAGTATTGGGTAAAGGTTCAGGATACTTATGTAAATGTAATATTTCCTTTTTTTATGTGTAATAAATGTGCAAGAAATTCTAAAAACCTGTTTTTGCTTTGTCATTATGGGGTATTGTGTCTAGATTGATGATGGGGGAAAAAAAACTATTTAATCAATTTTAGAAAAAGGCTGTAACGTAACAAAATGTGGAAAAAGTCAAGGGGTCTGAATACTTTCCGAATGCACTGTATAACCTATAAATGCCTCATGAGCTTAGTTCAACTGTTGTACCCCATCAGAACCCAAAATATAACCTTGTTTCACTCCAATGTTTGTAAACAAAGTAAATGTAAACAAACACTATATACCCTCAAACCATGGTTAAAACTATAATTTTGATATCATGGATGGTCAGTCCTTGCATCCATAGCTCTCAATGAATTTCTCCAGTCGTATTGTTCAAGTGTTGATTGCCGCTTTAAGACGGAAAATTTGAATTTCGTGTTGGGAATTTTGTTCCTAAATTGCGTAATATATTTACATTTGAATCATTTAGAAGACATTATGTAATAAGTCAATAGTTACATCTTAAATCATGTTGGAGAGAGTGTAGGCTCAGTCCTAGGGAGAGAAAGGAGTTGATTGGAGGATTATTACTAATTTGTTTAGTTCAACTGGTGCATGTCTTTAAAAGACTGTGCTGAAAGTATACTGTGTGTGTGTATGACTCATATCATTCATGTACAGTATGTCAGGAATGGCCACCTTGCGAGCAAAACATTTTAGCAGCCCCCCTCATGACAGCAAAGTTTTAAAGTTCATTTCCTGCATTTTGCCATGGGGAGGAGATACGATTTTGCAATTGTATAACTCATTTCATGCAATTCTACTGATTTTGCCATGGGGCAGAGAGAAAAATTAGCAGTTTTACAGCTAATTTCCTGCAATTCTACACATTTTGCCATAGGGTGGAGGCAAATGTTAACAGTTGTTAATATGATAACAGATGATCAATGGGCCCCACCCCGGTCGGTAATTCGACCATGCATACTACAAGTTTAGATAGCTGGCCGCTAGACTAACTTACCAATATAAAACATTTTAGCTGACATGGACTAATTGAGTGACTGCTGATGCACAACCACATTTCAAAATTGCACCTTGTGTATTCTATTACTAAGTTGAGACCCTGACTGAGTTCCTAAAAAAGTGACCCATCCCTGATGTATGTGTTTACGTATATGCACTGTGTTGATGTCAATGTGCTGTGTGTATCTTTATGTGTATGTACTGTGTGTGTGGGTGTGTGTATGTATCTCACTCACAGCGTTCATGTCGATACCGTTAGTGTAGGACCAGGCATGTTGGAAATACTCCTCCAACCGCTGCCTCAGTGGGTTGGGGATCTGGTGGAACCGGATGAACTCTCGGACCCGCAGCATTTGGGTGTGGTACCTCGCTGTACCCGAATACAACCTCTGGATGATGGCCGACACATTCCCAAAGATACTGGCATACATCAGCGCTGTAGGGGTGAGAGGAGAGAAGAGAGTTAGGATTTTGTGAATAGAATACTACTGCTGTCTACTACACATTGGGCACTGTGAGTTGAGCAAACGTTCAACGTTATGGTATCTCAGGTGTGTGTGTGTGTGTATTTATGTGTGCATGCATGTGTGTGACTGTATGTGCCATAGCCACTGCATGCCCTCCCATTATAGGCCCAGAGAGTAGATCTCTCCTAAACAAGGGCAGCTAGGAATCACCCCTCACCTCTTTCCCTCCCATAGTGTGACTGTGAAGCTGCGAGGTGATGGATCTGGTGCTGTGTCAGTCCCATACTGCTCATTCATCTTCACCAGAGGCCCAGTCAGAGCCTAAGGGAGTCCTGCTAGCTAGTAGCTACTACCACAGCCACAGACCATTGCCGTACTGGGATTCTACCAGCCTGGACCATCGATTGACCTCCCAACCTCCCATACAGTTTACAGTGAGACCTCACTACCATCGTATGGTCTGGCGTCTAGGGTCTATACTTCTGAGAGATGAGATCTATATACATGTTGGATGGCTGTAAAGTCAAGGCGTAAGTGATGAATAATCATCTCCATATGTGTGTTAACTCTGCAGAGATCTGTAATGAAATCTGGTCATTATCGTTATAGCTTTCTGCCTGCTCCATATTGATCGTTAGCGCGCGCGCGTGTGTGAGAGTGTCTGCAGGCAAACACGATGAAGGAAATTGTTTCATGGAGAGGAAGATACTTTGATAAGCGTATTTATATTAAAAAGATATTAGCTGATGTCGTACTAGGAAATATTTAGCTAATATATTAAGACATTAAATTATAAATGGCTTGATTAAATCCAGTTTCATTAGAAAAAGTACTTAATTGCATATTTTACAAGAAAACATTTTGACCTTGTGTTAATACTGTCAGACTCGTAACTGCATAATAATCATCATCATCCACTTAATGTTGTAATGTGACAGAATCCTCTCTGCACTCCCGACGCTGCAGAACTGAGTGGGATCTGCTTGGTGAGGCAGAAAAATAAAACAGTCACATCCACACAATCCTTTTTTAGACATAAAACCGTCATCTTAACCCTAACACTAAACCTGTTTTTATCCCACATTTCCATTCAGTGTTAGCAGCTACCAAGATAGCAAACACTGCAACAAAACAAGGAACAAATTAAATTTGAGCAGAAGTGGAACCCCCCCCCCCCCCCCCCCCCGTACTTACATCCGATAAGCATGACGCAGATGGAGAAGATCTTCTCAGAGTTGGTGTTGGGGGAGACGTTGCCAAAGCCCACGCTGGTCAGACTGGAGAAGGTAAAGTAGAGTGCCGTCACGTACTTGTCATTTATGGAGGGGCCCGAGCCCGGCACCGTGTCATTGTAGTGTTTCCCCAAAGATTCGCCCAGCGTGTGGAGCCAGCCAATGCTGCCGTTGCGCTCCACGCTGCCGATGGCGTACCAGATGCACGCCAGCCAGTGGGCGATAAGGGCGAATGTGCACATGAGCAGGAAGAGGACGGCGGCGCCATACTCCGAGTAGCGGTCCAGCTTCCTCGCCACGCGCACCAGCCGCAGGAGGCGGGCCGTCTTCAGCAGGCCTATCAGAGTGGTCGTCTGGCAGGAGAGAGGAGAAATGGTTTGTTTAGTGTCCGATCTTACCTTGTCAGGGCCCGTGTTGCAGGCTTTTGCTCCAGCCAAGCTGTAACACAGCTCATTCATCTCATATTATTAGTTGACTGGTTGAATCAGGTGTGTGACTGCTTGACTGGAACAAAAGTCTGGACCCACACTGGCCTTCTGCAGATAAGGTTGGACACCCCTGATTTAGGAGGTTGGTTCAAAGTTTTAAAGCTTTATTGTCCATTTAGGATAAACAACCTTACTGAACTGTACAGAACGTGCGAGTCATCCTCTGCCCTAGACTTGTAACCAATCCCAATCCCTCAGCAGCAGTTCAATCCACTCTATTATACACTGTGTTGTTGGTTGGTTCAGTTCCGTTCCCATCCATTACACTTGTCTTAAGGAGCCCCCACTGCATCAATACAGCAAATAAATAAGGTCCAGATTACTTCCCTACTTGGCAGAAAACCTAGTTTCTCACTTTGCAATACATTTTTGTCCTCTTCTGGGGAAATTGTCCACTTCCTTGGCTTACTGGCCACTTCAGGTTCAATTAATTAAACACTGGCAAGAAGGTTGAAAGTACAACCTTTCACAGTTGTTTTTTCTGCTCCACAGCCTTCGAGGGGATATCCCTTACTTTTAGTTAATTGGAGGTCCATAAATTATGGAGTCCTCAAAGGGAGATTTTACTTTGGAGGTCCCAAAAGCTCAATGCAAATAGTTTTCATTGGTCCTTATTGATTTTCTATAGGCCACTGTATCTAACCACCCTTAAATACAGAATCAAACCTTTAAATTCAAGATTCAACCACAGTTATTTAGGCATCGAGTAAAAAAAGTACACTGTAGGCCTTAAGTAGGCCATCATAACATCTGACAATCCTCATAACCCAAGATGCATTCCAACACACAATAGTCCTCACAAAATTCCTTTACCCACAATGCCCTTCCCCTCCTCCCACTTCCTCACCTCCTCTCCGCTGCGGTAGATGAGTAGGTCGAAGGGGATGGCCGCCACCATGTCAATGAGGAACCAGCCCTTGAAATAGTGGACCGCTATCCTTAGCGGGGCGCTGACCACCTCGTCGTTAGTGTTGACGTACGTCGTCCTGAAGTTAATGACGATGTCCACGATGAACATGATGTCCACGATTAGGTCGACCACGTTGAGCGGCGAGCACGAGTAGCCACAGTTCACCATAGCCGCCTCCTCGTGGTCGTTGAGGAGGAAGGCGGCGGAGTAGGGGGTCAAGATAGCCGTGTAGATGACCAACAGCAGGATGAGCCAGTCCCACACCGCCTTGAAGGGGCTGTAGTGGAGAACGGTCCACTTGTGGATGCGAGGTGCCTGGAGCTTGTACTCTGGCAGGACGTCGGCACCCAGTGACAGCACCTGGTGGGAGAGAAAAAGGGGAGGTGTAAGACTTTCTGATCAGGTAGTTGGGTCAATATGATAGAAAGAAAGAAAGAAAGAAAGAAAGAAAGAAAGAAAGAAAGAAAGAAAGAAAGAAAGAAAGAAAGGGGCAGGGAAGGACAATATGAACGTTTCCCCAAAACCTCACAATATCGCCTCACAACGCCTCTGTGACCCTGTATAAGGTAGCATGGAATACACAGGAGTTCCTTGGATCACATGTGCTGTATTTCTGGGAGGGGAAACAACAACGTTTCACAATTACAGCAATGTTCAGTGTCCAGTGAGGCTGAAGGAAGCTGTTGTGATAGGAAGGACTCTCCTAAGGTAACCCCTGAAGCAGAATGGAACAAACGCTCAAACCCGCATACACGCACATGAACACACACACATGCACATTAACAGTCAAATTCATAGCCAGAGCATGCAGTTCCAGTGGATTGGATTCGTTTCAGTAATGTATTCCAACTCCAGTCAGCAGCAATGAAAAATTAAACTAATCACAATGAGAGAGTCATTTCCCCTGGTCTCCCAGAATTAAACAGTAGTTAATCACACAGCCAGGATGGTGTGTTGAACTGATTAGTACTAATGGAACACAGACATAACTCAGTACATCTCCCACTCACGACCCAACGTCTTAACAGACAGCACTGCCTCAATAACACTGCTAGGCTATATCATAACAAGGGCATGATGCTGTGAATAGAATAATAGCATTTCTGTTACACTTATTATATATTATGTCACATAACATCTTAGCTACTATACAGGTATAGTGTATTCAGTTGAAATAGGGCAGTAAAATAAAGCTTTACTACCTCTTGTCTGCACTGGTTGGTCTGACCTTCCATTTCCCAGGTCAGGTAGAACAGCCTCCCTGCCTTGAACACACACATCCCCAGGAGAGGACAGATTGACAGACGTTCTCTAACCATCTGCACAAGCATACTGCAACAGTATACACTTGCAGCTAGCTGAACACACACACAAGCTGCTTTGACAGTGTCTCATGTCACTCGCACAGACGCTCTCACACGTGCGCACGTACACAGATTATAAAACGGCTATACAAATAAGGTTGTAGTATTATCACACGTATCAATGCAAATATGAAGAATTGCACAATTCGACACACACTTGATTCAACTGCTTCAGTGAAAGGTGATAAAAATAAGTAGAAAATAAATGTAAAGAATATTTGTGGTTATTCCTGAAATATAAAGCAGGCTGGCTTCCAGAGACAACACAGTGCAACTTCTGGGTCCTTGCTATGTTCTGTTTATTCAAGGCAAAAAAAGTTTGTTAAAAAAGTCAGGCAATCTAAGACAAATAACTTAGGGTTCTTAGGGTTGTCGGGTGGGACTGTGAGTAGCTTCTGTGAATGACACAACCAATTGGGTTTGTTGACTGTAAGCCCTGTCACGAGTCACCACTGACATAGAGTGACAGGCAGTGTGTGAGAGTATGGGAGGAGAACATTCTAGACACTGTAAGTGACTTTGAGCTCTCCAGGACTTGGCAACAGGCTAATAAAAAGGCAGAAATTAATATTAGATTTGGTCAGAGAGAGAGAGCATTTTCTCTCTGAGTGTAGCAGTGTGACAAGGCCTGGGGACAACAACAGAGAGAGCTGGATAAACAGTGGGTTGTGTGAGCTCCAGTCCAGCCGACAAGAACAGCTGAGGCCACGGCTGCAGCTCTCTCTTTTCCCCACCCTTTCTCTTTCTTTCTTTCCTTCTCTCCGTCCACACCCAAATACTCAGAGGAATCTGTTCTTACTAATCCAGTGCAGCTGATGGCTCTTTGGCAAGCTGTTCCCATTCCTGTTGTTGTCATTGTTGTAGAAGTACCCAGCAGAGCATGGCCCTTTCACCATAACATCATAACTAGAGATGGGGAACCCTCTTGCTAATGTGGTGGTACAGTATCAGCACTCTGACTATGTATGGACCATCAAAGAAAATATATGGGCCAATTGGTTAGTTACAGTCCTTTATTTACCTGCCTTTGTTTCTTTGGGATTCATTGAAAGAAGCACCACCATGTACTAGTTAATACCCAGGAAGATATGAATTGCTTTGAAGTATCTGAGAAAGACATACAGTTGAAGTCGGAAGTTTACATACACCTTAGCCAAATACATTTAAAATCAGTTTTTCACAATTCCTGACATTTAATACTAGCAAAAATTCCCTGTCTTAGGTCAGTTAGGATCACCACTTTATTTTAAGAATGTGAAATGTCAGAATAATAGTAGAGAGAATGATTTATTTCAGCTTTTATTTATTTCATCACATTCCCAGTGGGTCAGAAGTTTACATACACTCAATTCATATTTGGTAGCATTGCCTTTAAATTGTTTAACTTGGGTCAAACGTTTCGGGTAGCCTTCCACAAGCTTCCCAAAATAAGTTGGGTGAATTCTGGCCCATTCCTCCTGACAGAGCTGGTGTAACTGAGTCAGGTTTGTAGGCCTCCTTGCTCGCACACGCTTTTTCAGTTCTGCCCACAAATGTTCTATAGGATTGAGGTCAGGGCTTTGTGATGGCAACTCCAATACCTTGACTTTGTTGTCCTTAAGCCATTTTGCCACAACTTTGGAAGTATGCTTGGGGTCATTGTCCATTTGGAAGACCCATTTGCGACCAAGCTTTAACTTCCTGACTGATGTCTTGAGATGTTGCTTAAATATATCCACATCATTTTCCTTCCTCATGATGCCATCTATTTTGTGAAGTGCACCAGTCCTTCCTGCAGCAAAGCACCCCCATAGCATGATGCTGCCACCCCCGTGCTTCACGGTTGGGATGGTGTTCTTCGGCTTGCAAGCACCCCCTTTTTCCTCCAAACATAACGATGGTCATTATGGCCAAACAGTTCTATTTTTGTTTCATCAGACCAGAGGACATTTCTCCAAAAAGTACGTTCTTTGTCCCCATGTGCAGTTGCAAACCGTAGTCCATCTTTTTTATGGCGGTTTTGGAGCAGTGGCTTCTTCCTTGCTGAGCGGCCTTTCAGGTTATGTCGATGTAGGACTAGTTTTACTGTAGATATAGATACTTTTGTACCTGTTATCTCCAGCATCTTCACAAGGTCCTTTGCTGTTGTTCTGGGATTGATTTGCACTTTTCGCACCAAAGTATGTTCATCTCTAGGAGACAGAACGCGTCTCCTTTCTGAGCGCTATGACGGCTGCGTGGTCCCATGGTGTTTATACTTGCGTACTATTGTTTGTACAGGTGAACGTGGTACCTTCAGGCGTTTGGAAATTGCTGCCAAGGATGAACCAGACTTGTGGAGGTCTACAATTTTTTTCTGAGGTCTTGGCTGATTTCTTTTGATTTTCCCATGATGTCAAGCAAAGAGGCACTGAGTTTGAAGGCAGGCCTTGAAATACATCCACAGGTACACCTCCAATTGACTCAATTGTAAATTAGCCTATCAGAAGCTTCTAAAGCCATGACATCATTTTCTGGAATTTTCCAAGCTGTTTAAAGGCACAGTCAACTTAGTGTATGTAAACTTCTGACCCACTGGAATTGTGATACAGTGAATTATAAGTGAAATAATCTGTCTGTAAACAATTGTTGGAAAAATCACTTGTGTCATGCACAAAGTAGATGTCCTAACCGACATGCCAAAACTATAGTTTGTTAACAAGAAATGTGAGGAGTGGTTGAAAAACGAGTTTGAATGACTCCAACCTAAGTGTATGTAAACTTCCGACTTCAACTGTAACACATTATTACCTTTGTAGATACAAGGTTGACACCACCTGTAAAAGGCCTGTAAAAATACAGTGTGGTCTCATTCCACAATAACATTTTGTATCTGCCGTCTATAACACACCATGTTGTCTTGCCCTCAGGTTGATTCAGTGTGGCACCTGTACCCAGAATGCTCCTCTCACTCAGATAGTGGCGATATTTCCAGCTGAGCGTGTCAGACAGAAAGACAGACAGGCGGGCTGGGGGCGTTCAGGGTGAGGGCCTGATTCACTGGCAGGTCGCCTTTGGGGGTCCATGGACACGTACGTCAGGTGCTCAGCTGAACAGTGTTCAGTTATTGTGTTGGGAAGGCAGGTGCTGTGCTAGACTGCAGGTAGTGCATCATGCAGAGGGCCTGTGTGTGTTTGTGTGTGTGTATGTTTGTATGTGTGTGTTTGTGTGTGTGTATGTTTGTATGTGTGTATGTGTGTATGTGTGTGTCTGTGTGTATGTGTGAGGCCTATAATTCACAGTGTGTTGGCGCTTCTCTATGGAGCTGAGACATGTCAGGTCCAATGTTTCTGAGCTTGACAGGCACTGGGGGTTTCTATCATGCCACCCACTGACTAATACAAAGGCAGATGGTATTGTTTATGTCATGGTTGCAGTGAAACGTGCACGTCATAGCAACTTCAGGCAACTTTGCTTGTAACAAAAGTCCATCATCTCTGGGGGTGGAGGCAGACATTGGAAGACTTACTCAATAGGACAACCACATGACTAGCCTGGGTGCCAGTCTGTTTCTTCTCTCTTGCCAACTCCTTATGGAATTGTCATGTCATGTTTGGCATTTTTTGACAATTGAGTAGGTAAAAGCACAAACAGATCTGGGACAAGGCTACCACATGAGGTAAAGGAGTTTTAAACCAGGTAGTCCCGACAAGAGAGTGATAAGATACAGTACCCTTTAGAATCAATGGTTCATCTACATTAGTTTGGCCGTGTTAACTCTAACGCACATCTTCCTAGTGATCTTCATAAGCATATTAGAGGTTTGGGGCTAAAGTAAGCATGGCTGCTTCAGTGAGCCTTCAAGTTCAATTGAAAAATTGGGAAGACTTTTAGCTGTAGGCTGATTAGTGAGTGCATCTGGTCTATATATAAAACAGTAACAAAAACATAAACCCAGTATATACTGCAGGGTCATGAAGAGAGGTCAGACGGAAGCAATGAAATCATCCGCTCTTAGCCTTGGTAAGTCAATGACTCAGTGAGGCATGAGGTTGAACAGGGGTGAGAAACTGGGGTGATGCTGAATAGGGGTGAGAAGTAGCGGTGAGTATGAGTGAGTATGAGTGAGATGGGTGGAGAGCAGGGGTGAGGCATAGGGGGTCAGGTACAGGGTTGAGGAGCAGGGGTGGAGAGCAGGGGTAGAGAGCAGGGGTGGACAGCATGCGTGGAGAGCAGGTGTGGAGGACAGGTGTGGGGTATAGGGGTGAGGTACAGGGGTGGAGAGCAGGCGTGGAGAGCAGGTGTGGAGGACAGGTGTGGGGTATAGGGGTGAGGTACAGGGGTGGAGAGCAGGCGTGGAGAGCAGGTGTGGAGGACAGGTGTGGGGTATAGGGGTGAGGTACAGGGGTGGAGAGCAGGCGTGGGGTATAGGGGGTGAGGAGTAGGGGTGGAGAGCTATTAGCTCCCAGAGTAAGATTTAAACAGTGAGAGTTAAAGTGAGTTGCAAAGCGGTAAGTAGTGTTTGTTTGTGTGTAGTGTGTATCATGCACAGTGCAAACACATTGTATCTGTATGCAGGGAAGAGTAGAAGCAGGTGAGGTAGCTAGAGGAGGCAAAACAGTATTTTTATCAACAGTTTTTATCAACATTTGCACCTCCAACTGAAGTGATGAGTAATGAATGATACATTACTGTCTATATATATATAGAAAAACGTAATCACTATGACGTGTCTGTCAGATGCACGCAGGCATGCAGGCAAGCGCACATGCAGTTCAGTGCCGCACCCTTCTCCAGTGAGCCTCCCCTCCCAAAGGACTTAATGGGTTATTTTTTGTGATGTGTGTGAAACCAAACAGCTTTCTCAAAAAACATCCCCAGAGGAACACGACAACTGCAGATGTCAAAAAACATGTCTACATTTCACAGATATCACAAAAGCTACATTTGAGGATAACAACCAAGGTTGTAGTGCTGCCGGGGCACGGGGGAGCGCCACTCCCTCACCTTTTTCAATTTGAGAATACACAGAGCTGGTAAAACTATTTCCGGAAAATGTATTCTGATAAATTCTAAATGAATTCCATGAAAAACGATCGAATGACATACCAAATAAATATGTATAGCAGCTTAGAGGTAGGTAAGTGGTGGTTTGTTCCCTGTCTTCTCTCTGGCGGTGGCGAGAATGATGAAGAACTGTAGGCTATGTGTGTGCACTGCAGAGGCCGGTCGGAGGCTTACCACTTTGGCCAATCAGAACGTTGAAAAAAAATCTAAATTCACCATGTGTCTGCCTTGATGTTCATAAAACTCCACGGATCCCCTCTCTACTCTTGCACAGTGGAACCCAGAATGATATGTGGCCACATGGTTACGACGACACCGTTCTTCCGAGGACACCCAAACCAGTGGCCACCGCAAAGTTGCCAAGGAGCCTGATCCTCTCTGGAAGTTGCTATAGCCCTGCTTGGGATATTTAGCTTATATTGGCTATTGGTTGAGACGCAGGGCCCGTTCTAGCTTGATATGTCAGGGTGGGAAATTGGAAATGTGATTTGGGACAAGTTGGAGGTAATAATGCATTTACGTTATAGTTTATTGAGATGCATGAATACACCTCACCAAAAGCTTGATTCTATGGTTGTTTTAAAACAAATTTCCTGCAATTTTACATAGTAATGATTTATGTTCACTACTTGGTCAATTGATTTTATACCATGTTTAATCCATGCAAATAAATTATATGAATTGATAGTTCACCTCTCTGTTTTATTTTATTCTGTAATATGGTATATTGTAAACATGTGTTCAAGCTAATCAAATCAAAGTTTATTTATGATACAGCGTGCAAACTACACAATACAATGAAATGCCTACTCACAATAAAGATCTCCTTGCAATCAGTGCAATGATATTAAGCTATATGTAGCCTATTTGTATGTACATTAGGCTATAGCCTACAAATAGCTACATACCATGTTGTCATAAGCCTATTAAGCTATTCTGCAAATTATTATTGTTTGTTCCTGAACTAGCCGAATAGGCAGCGCTATCCTTCAGCTATCCTTCAGCTCCACAAGTTGGTTCAACTTCATTAACATCATTGCGCGATCCTGGCGGTGCACTTTCAGAACCACGAAGAGGGCTCCAATCGTTTAAAATAACACTCATCAAGATCTATTGCCTACGTCTAAAATTCCTATTCATCACTTATTATTATTATTATTATTATTAATACAAATATAATATTATCACATCTCACAATGGTGCACGTTTAGTAAAGTTAGATCAAAGCTGAATCAATGTCTTGCAAGATCAAATAATGATTAATGAGTATTTTACATAATAGAACCGAATATAATAGCATAGCATAGTAGGCCTATAACGTTACTGTTACAGCAAAAACACCTGATTTCTAATTAGATTTTAGTATGTTTAGCTGAAGCTGAATAGTCACTTTTTTTCTCATGCGCAATAACACAACAGAACGCGCCACTAGGCAGGATATATGCTTTGACTGAAACAAAATACAAGCAAGGCTAATAGTTTGTTAACACCATCTGCTCTAATTCGCTCACGAAACAGTAATTGAAGAAGATCTAAATGCATAGTCTGTTCCCATGAAACTGATTGAGATCAATCAAATGACTGGCATGCAGATGCAGTTTCACCAGTAAAACATGAACAATTGTCATTCACGATTGACAGTGATGATGGCCTATTTTGAAATGAGGTTAGGGTTAGGGTTAGGGTTAGGGTTAGGGTTAGGGTTAGGGTTAGGCCTAACTTGGTGTTTAAAGGTATTAAAAATAGAACATGTTCTTGAGACAATATGTGTGGGCATAGGCAGATGTTGCAAATGGAGGATGCATTTTATGCATATTCTATATAATGATATTCAATAGGCTTCATCTGTTGGTACAAACTTCAGTTGAGGAAATTATTATATAATTTTTTTTTTTTCGCTCCCTCACCTATAAAAATAGCACTACACCACTGACAACAACACTTCTGAAATGTTACTTTGTTGTAATGTATCTGAAGTAGTCAGTAACTATGATAAAAGACAGTCAGTAAGGATTTCAGATACTGTCTACAACAAACCATGTGAAAGGTTTAATGTACTCAAGTGCCTCTTTCAGACATCCTTGAGTTAAAGCAACCCTAAGATATGAAACACAGTTTCCTCCTAATAGCGCTGATATCGAGACATAAAATTGATGACCGGGTCAAGCCTTGAGGTACGGAACAACTAATTCTATTACAAAATTGCTGAAAGGAACTCAAGATCAAAATATTGATTGAACATGTCAACTTGAATTAAGGTGATGTCCAAGGAAAGGGTAAAAAGGGACAGAGCAGAGACTGTCCAGTAATGAAGGCATCTACAACTTAGAGCTCAAATAAAAAGTCCTCTTCCTCTTGATGAAACAAAACAAGCCCAGTGTCGGACATCTTGGCAAACCCAAGATACTTTATGCTGTCAGGGGTCAATATCAAATATAGATTTCATATGTTTTTTTCTCTTACCTCTTGGTGTGAGCGCTGTGGCGGCGCTAGGATCAAAGGATGGCTGGCTAGGGGTTGTAAAGCAGGGGGCCGTTGTGTATGTATGCTTTGTACGTGTGTGTGTATGTTTTTTGCATGTGTGAACGTGTACAGTATGTGTGTTTGTGTGTATCTATATGCATGTGTGTGTGTGTGACATAACAAGGCTACAGGCTCATAACGCCGCATCCCCTCGGTCTAAAAGCCAAACATATTGAAAAATTAAACATAATAGGAAGGGCCTTCTCACCCAGGAGAATGGTCCCCTCTTCAAACAGCTCTGCCGTCATCAACTCAGCCCCTGCATGGCGTTCACTACTTTCATGGCTCTGGTTCTTTCTCTGCTCTTAGTGGCTGGCCGTCTGGCCATGGAAAGAGCTAGCAGGACCAGCAGGCAGAGCAAGGTGGAATCCTCCATTTATGTACTGTAACTTCTGAGAACCCTTTGAATTGTAGTGTACCTGATGCATATGGTTTCATGGTGGCATTCATTTAACGCTGTCATGATACAGGGAAGGTCTCTCTGTATTGAGGAGAGAAACTAACAAGGGTCATTGGTTAGCTTACTGTAGCCTCTACATGAATGCTGAATTCCAAACTGACTCTAAGCGCCTACTCCCTACGTACCACAGGAGGCTGCTTAGGGGAGGACGGCTCATAATAATGGCTGGAATGGAGTGAATGGAATGGTATCAAACATCTGGAACCCATGTTTGATGTGTTTGATACGGTTCCATTAATTCCGTTCCAGCCATTACTATGAGCCCGTCCTCCCCAATTAATGTGCCACCAGCCACCTGTGCCAGATATCTAGGAGTGGCTAGGGAGTAGGTGCTAGTAGTGATGCGAGGGCTGACTCATAACCCGCAGTCCCCGCGGTTATATTTAGGGTCATTAAATATTGTGTGGATGAAGGGCAGGCGGGTTGAATAAAGAAAAAACAATACCTTAAAAAATCCATAAATGTATCATTCTTGTGTAATTTATATCTATAGGCTACATTGAGGTTGTTCTTTCCTTATTTAAGGCTATCTGGCATTAGTGCGTAAACCTAAGATTTAGGGCCTAACTGTTTGCGCGCCAAATAGCCTACATGCCAATCGCCAAATGCTTTTTGCAACAGACAAAAGGGACAATGTCGGAGTTTAATTCAATAAGAGAAAATCTGTGAAATAGGGAGTTGAAAATAAAGAGAAGGAGGGCCAGAAAAGTAATGTTTGTGAAAGATTTGGTGAAGTGGTAAAAGAGGGTGATAGCAGTGTTATGTGTGATGATTGTGAGGCACTACACAAATTCGATAGTCACAAGACCGGGACTTCAAATAGGCCTATGGCACGTCAAGGGAACTGTAGCCTACTGTTCAGTTGGGTTAAATGGAAACTAAAATCTGGACACTGACAGTAGGTCTATAACCACTCACATAGCCTTAATATGAACTCCTGCAGAATTAAGTATTTCTTGCAGTAAAATGATAAACCAAATTTAGGTTACAGTTTGACTTGGGAACAGGAGTGGAGAAATAGGCTATGATGTATTTCTTTCAGCATCTTGAGAGAATGCATATGTGCAGTAGAGGTGCTACCAAGTGGTGTAAAGTACTTAAGTAAAAATACTAATTAAGTAGTTGTTTGGGGTATCTGTACTTTACTTTACTATTTATATTTTTTGACAACTTTTACTTTTACTCCACTACATTCCTAAAGAAAATAATGCACTTTTTACTCCTTACATTTTCCCTGACACCCAAAAGTACTCTTTACATTTTAGATGCTTAGCAGGACAGGAAAATTGTTGTCACGCCCTGGCTCTGGGGACTCTTAAATGTTGAGCCAGGGTGTGGATTTTCATTGTTTAGTTTTCTATGTTTTTGTTCTAGATCGTGTTGATCTATGTTGGCCAGGGTGGTTCCCAATCAGAGACAGCTGTAGCTCGTTGTCTCTGATTGGGGACCATACTTAGGCAGCCTGTTGGCACCAGTTAGTGTGTGGGATCTTGATCCGTAAAGGTTTGTTGTGTTATAACCTCAGGACTTCACGTATCGTTTGTTTGTTGTTTTTGTCGTTAAGTACGTTAAATAAAAGTATGTACGCTTATCACGCAGCGCCTTGGTCCGTGTCTTCAGTCAACGATCGTGACAATTGTCTAATTCACGCACTTATCAAGAGAACATCCCTGGTCATCCCTACTGCCTCTGATCTGGCAGACTCACTAAACACAAATGCTTAGTTTGTAAATTATGTCTGAGTGTTGAAGTGTGCCCCTGGCTATCCGTACTTTTATTTTTTTTTAAACAAGAAAATCGTGCAGTCTCGTTTGCTTAATATAAGTAATTTGAAATGATTTATAGTTTTACTTTTGATACTTAAGTATATTTAAAACCAAATACTTTTATACTTTTACTCAAGTAGTATTTTACTGGGTGACTTTCACTTCCACGTGAGTCATTTACTTTTAAGGTATCTTTACTTTTACTCAAGTATGACAATTTGGTACTTTTTCCCACCACTGGTGCTATCTTTATCAGCATCATAAAAGCTGATTGTGATGAGTGTGATGGAAGGAGTCAGGCGCAGGAGGGTAATCACCGAATACAGAGTTTATTCCTTCGAGGACACACAAATGCGCTCAAATAGCGATCACCGGCACAGGGGAAACTCTCATTCCTGGCAAATACACTGTAATGGTAGAATCCAATAATACATAGGCACAGGGGAAAATCTACCCTGGCAACAAAATGTACGAGTAGCTCCACCGAGCTACACTACTCTCACAAATAACAATCACCCACAAGGACAGGGGGGCAGAGGGAACACTTATACACAGACTAATGAGGGGATTAGAACCAGGTGTGTGTGATTGACAAGACAAGACAAAGGTGATGATGATTGGGGCGGCAGTGGTTAGTAAGCTGGTGACGACGAACGCCGAAGCCTGCCCGAACAAGGAGGGGAGTCAGCCTCGGCCGAAGTCGTGACACGGATAAAAACATGTTGGTTCATTTTCACAGCTTTCCATTTCCTTACAACCGGTTTTGCACAGAAATTAATTCCCATTTCTTTTTAGTTATTACATTTCATCCCCGGTCCCTAAACGTCTTTGCTCCGCGAAAGAAATAGAGATGACAGAGAAAACTTTACCGATGCCAATTAGATTTAATCAATAATTCTATCGATTTATGAAATTATTCTGGTGAGCAAGGGTTAATTTAGTCTTCTAGGGCAACATATAATGACAGAAGAGAAGCTGCATATATTGTAGGCTATCTAATTATAGACAAGTTGACTAACAAATAGCCTACCAAAATGTCAGAAATGTGCCTTCCAAAATGTCGGAAATAAGCAGAAACATCTAAATCAGGCATAAAAAAAATCCTACACCCCTGTAAAATAAATCGTTCCGTCATCTCTGACTGTAGTTTACAACGCATTTTCAATATTAGCGGGTTAGGGTCGGGTGCGGGCCTCAGATTTTCACTTTATCACATATAGTCAGGTGGTTGCGGATGGGTTATTAGCAATTACGGGAGGGTGCAGGTGAAAAACAGCTGACCTGCGCACCACTAGGGGCTAGGGATCGATTTGGCATTCAGTGTGTCTGTCAATGGAGACTACAAGGGCAGAAAGTTAGAAGCAACAGAGAATTGATGCGGTACAAGCAGTGCAATGTCACCTCTGAGGTCACTTCCCTAATGGCACGGCTCTGTACATTTACAACCCTCTCCAGGAATATGGATTCTGATTCCGTCTCTCAGTAAGAGAATGTGAAGATTACGAGGAGCGCCACAGCAGGATTCGGATACCTAACATGCCAGTCCATCTATTTAAGTGTTGATTTGAAGTAGCGTTTTGGGCCAATTCCATTTCTCACATTCTAATTCATTTGGCAGGGTACCTCAAGTAGATGCTAAAACATGGCGCCAAAACAATGACAATCAGAACAGACAAACAAGAGATTTGCCAAAGCCTTGAGAGAATCGAGGAGAGCTTTTGGTCTAGTGAATGCGGTATTTATAGTCCTTTGTTAATTAGTTTACTTTAGTCTCAAAATTGGCGTGAGGAGAGTGTGGATCATTAAGACATAGAAGTGATTTCTGGCCAGTCCACAGCCACAAAACACCCTGGGAGAGTGGCAAAAGACTTTGCTTCCTGTCTTCTCCTGTTATGTCATCCTCAACATTAGAGAACAGTTCGTCCTCAACTTTTGATCCAGCTTCTTACTTCCTCGTTGCATTGACAATATCAAGTTGTTGCCGAAGAGAGATGCCAGACCTTGATAGCGACCCTCATTGCATCCCCAACGAAGTGATCAAACAGCCTCTCTCTTTTGAGCTATATGGACAGATCCTAGATCAGCACTCTTACTCTGAGATGCTTTGTGGATACAGGCACAGTGGTGCCGGAGAAGATGGCTGCCGTTTTACAGCCCTCTAACCAATTGTACTATTATGTGTGTTTTTTCGCGTTATTTGTAATTTATTCTGTACATAATGTTTCTGCCACCGTCTCTTATGACCAAAAAGAGCTTCTGGATATCAGGACAGCGATTACTCACCTCGTATTGGACAAAGATTTTTTCTTCAACGAGTCGTACGCGAAGGATATCCTACAGACACACGACAAGGCCCAAATCCCCATCATTCGCATGAAAGAGACAGAGATATCGTGGACGTAGGTCGGGGTGCCTTGTAAGGATCTGACGGCGAGCGAGTAAACAGCCTCTTCCATCAATCCTATTAGCCAATGTTCAATCATTTGAAAACAAATTGGACGACCTACGATTAAGGTTATCCTACCAACGGGACATTAAAAACTGTAATATCTTATGTTTCACCGAGTCGTGGCTGAATGACGACATTGATAACATACAGCTGGCAGGATATACGCTACATCGTCAGGATAGAACGGCTGACTCCGGTAAGACAAGGGGTGGCGGTCTGTGTATATTTGTAAACAACAGCTGGTACATAAAAACTAACTCTAAGGAAGTCTCGAGGTTTTGCTCGCCGGAGGTAGAGTATCTCATGATAAGCTGTAGACCACACTATTTACCAAGATAGTTTTCATCTATATTTTTCGTAGCTGTCTACCTACCACCACAAACCGATGCTGGAACTAAGATTGCACTCAATGAGCTGTATAAGGCCATAAGTAAACAGGAAAACGCTCATCCAGAGGCAGCGCTCCTAGTGGCCGGGGACTTTAATGCAGGGAAACTTAAATCCGTTCTACCTAATTTCTACCAGCATGTTAAATGTACAACCAGAGGAAAATAAACTCTAGACCACCTTTACTCCACACACAGAGACGCATACAAAGCTCTCCCTCGCCCTCCATTTGGCAAATCTGACCATAACTCTATCCTCCTGATTCCTGCCTATAAACAAAAACTAAAGCAGGAAGCACCAGTGACTCGGTTACTAAAAAAGTGGTCAGATGACGCAGACTGTTTTGCTAGCACAGACTGGAATATGATCAGGGATTCTTCAGATAGCATTGAGGAGTACACCACATCAGTCACTGGCTTCATCAATAAGTGCATCGATGACGTCGTCCCCACAGTGACCGTACGTACATACCCCAACCAGAAGCCATGGATTACAGGCAACATCCGCACTGAGCTAAAGGGTAGAGCTGCCGCTTTTAAGGAGCGGGACTCTAACCCGGAAGCTTATAAGAAATCCCGCTATGCCCTCCGACGAACCATCAAACAGGCAAAGAGTCAATACAGGACTAAGATTGAATCGTACTACACCGGCTCTGACGCTCGTCGGATGTGGCAGGGCTTGAAAACTATTACAGACTACAAAGGGAAGCACAGCCGCGAACTGCCCAGTGACACAAGCCTACCAGACGAGCTAAATCACTTCTATGCTCGCTTCGAGGCAAGCAACACTGAAGCATGCATGAGAGCATCAGCTGTTCCGGATGACTATGTGGTCACACTATAATATAATAATATAATATGCCATTTAGCAAACGCTTTTATCCAAAGCGACTTACAGTCATGTGTGCATACATTTTTACGTATGGGTGGTCCCGGGGATCGAACCCACTACCCTGGCATTACAAGCACCATGCTCTACCAATTGAGCTACAGAGGACCACTCTCCGTAGCCGATGTGAGTAAGACTTTTAAGCAGGTCAACATTCACAAGGCCGCAGGGCCAGATGGATTACCAGGACGTGTACTCGGAGCATGTGCTGACCAACTGGCAAGTGTCTTCACTGACATTTTCAACATGTCCCTGACTGAGTCTGTAATACCAACATGTTTCAAGCAGACCACCATAGTCCCTGTGCCCAAGGACACTAAGATAACCTGCCTAAATGACTACCGACCCATAGCACTCACGTCTGTAGCCATGAAGTGCTTTGAAAGGTTGGTCATGCCTCACATCAACACCATTATCCCAGAAACCCTAGACCCACTCCAATTTGCATACCGCCCCAACAGATCCACAGATGATGCAATCTCTATTGCACTCCACACTTCCCTTTCCCACCTGGACAAGAGGACCACCTACGTGAGAATGCTATTCATTGACTACAGCTCAGCGTTCAACACCATAGTGCCCTCAAAGCTCATCACTAAGCTAAGGATCCTGGGACTAAACACCTCCCTCTGCAACTGGATCCTGGACTTCCTGATGGGCCGCCCCCAGGTGGTAAGGGTAGGTAACAACACGTCTGCCACGCTGATCCTCAACACGGGGTTCCCTCAGGGGTGCGTGCTCAGTCCCCTCCTATACTCCCTGTTCACCCATGACTGTATGGCCAGGCACGACTCCAACACCATCATTAAGTTTGCCAACGACACAACAGTGGTAGGCCTGATCACCGACAACGATGAGACAGCCTATAAGGAGGAGGTCAGAGACCTGGCCGTGTGGTGCCTGGATAACAACATTTTTACATTTTACATTTTAGTCATTTAGCAGACGCTCTTATCCAGAGCGACTTACAGGAGCAATTAGGGTTAAGTGCCTTGCTCAAGGGCACATTAACGTCATTTAGCAGACGCTCTTAGCCAGAGCGACTCACAAATTGGTGCGTTCACCCTATAGCCAGTGGGATAACCACTTTACAATTGGGGGGGGGGGGGGGGGGGGGGGGGGGGGGTAGAAGGATTCCTTTATCCTATCCCAGGTATTCCTTAAAGAGGTGGGGTTTCAAATGTCTCCGGAAGGTGGTGAGTGACTCCGCTGTCCTGGCGTCGTGAGGGAGCTTGTTCCACCATTGGGGTGCCAGAGCAGCGAACAGTTTTGACTGGGCTGAGCGGGAACTATGCTTCCGCAGAGGAAGGGGAGCCAGCAGGCCAGAGGTGGATGAGCGCAATGCCCTCGTTTGGGTGTAGGGACTGATCAGAGCCTGAAGGTACAGAGGTGCCGTTCCCCTCACTGCTCCATAGGCAAGCACCATGGTCTTGTAGCGGATGCGAGCTTCAACTGGAAGCCAGTGGAGTGTGCGGAGGAGGGGGGGTGACGTGAGAGAACTTGGGAAGGTTGAACACCAGACGGGCTGCGGCATTCTGGATGAGTTGTAGGGGTTTAATGGCACAGGCAGGGAGGCCAGCCAACAGCGAGTTGCAGTAGTCCAGACGGGAGATGACAAGTGCCTGGATTAGGACCTGTGCCGCTTCCTGTGTAAGGCAGGGTCGTACTCTCCGAATGTTGTAGAGCATGAACCTGCAGGAGCGGGTCACCGCCTTGATGTTGGCGGAGAACGACAGGGTGTTGTCCAGGGTCACGCCTAGGCTCTTCGCACTCTGGGAGGAGGACACAGCGGAGTTGTCAACCGTGATGGCGAGATCATGGAACGGGCAGTCCTTCCCCGGGAGGAAGAGCAGCTCCGTCTTGCCAGGGTTCAGCTTGAGGTGGTGATCCGTCATCCATACTGATATGTCTCTCCCTCAACGTGATCAAGACAAAGGAGATGATTGTGGACTACAGGAAAAAAAACAGGACTGAGCACGCCCCCATTCTCATCGACGGGGCTGTAGTTGAACAGGTTGAGAGCTTCAAGTTCCTTGGTGTCCACATCACCAACGAACTATCATGGTCCAAACACACCAAGATAGTTGTGAAGAGGGCACGAAAAAACCTATTCCCCCTCAGGAGACTGAAAAGATTTGGCATGGGTCCTCAGATGCTCAAAAAGTTCTACAGTTGCACCATTGAGAGCATCCTGACTGGTTGCATCACCGCCTGGTATGGCAACTGCTCGGCCTCCGACCGCAAGGCACTACAGAGGGTAGTGCGTACGGCCCAGTACATCACTGGGGCCAAGCTTCCTGCCATCCAGGACGTCTATACCAGGTGGTGTCAGAGGAAGGCCCTCAATATTGTCAAAGACTCAAGCCACCCTAGTCATAGACTGTTCTCTCTGCTACCGCAAGTCTAGGTCCAAAAGGCTTCTCAACAGCTTCTACCCCCAAGCCATAAGACTCCTGAACAGCTAATCATGGCTACCCGGACTATTTGCACTGCCCCCCACCCCACCCCATCCCCCTCTTTTACGCTGCTGCTAGTCTGTTTATTATTTATGCATAGTCACTTTAACTCTACCCACATGTACATATGACCTCAATTACCTCGACTAGCCGGTGCCCCTGCAGATTGACTCTGTACCGGTACCCCCCTGTATATAGCCTCCCTACTGTTATTTTATTTTACTGCTGCTCTTTAGTTATTTGCTTTTATTTTATTTTTTTCTTTAATTAACACTTTATTATTTTACATTTTTCTTTAAAAAACTGCATTGTTGGTTAAGGGCTTGTAAGTAAGCATTTCACTGTAATGTCTACACCTGTTGTATTCGGCGCATGTGGCAAATACAATTTGATTTGATTTGATTTGTGGTCTCTTGCCAACAAGCGAGAGGAATGTGGGGGGTGGGAGGACAATGTGCAGGGCACCCATGCAACTGGGAAGTGACAGGTCTCTACACACATGCCTACAGGCTGTGTGTGTGTGTGTGTGTGTGTGTGTGTGTGTGTGTGTGTGTGTGTGTGTGTGTGTGTGTGTGTGTGTGTGTGTGTGTGTGTGTATGTGTGTGTGTGTGTGTGAGAGTGTGTGTGTGTGTGTGTGTGTGTGTGTGTGTGTGTGTGTGCACACAGGTTTACATAAACTGTGGCACATTAAAAAGACATTGGCTTTGCCTGGTCAGTCTCGCAGTGAAGAATGTGGATGAGAAATAACAATAGCAAAAGCCAAGGGAGCTAACATGTCAGCAAAAAAATTAAATAATCAGCAACCAGCATGGGCCAATTTACCGCTGTGGTAGATCACACTGTAAAGGTCACCATAATGATAGATGGACTGCCATCACTGTGTACGGTTATAGGAATGACATCCTCTTCCCTCAAGTCATGGGTCACGTGGACACTACCAGACTCAACACATACAAACAAGTCCTGTCACAAACATCATGTCATGTGAGTGTACTAAACCAAGTAGAGAAGGGTACCAAAGGAAATCTAAATCTAGATGTATGCTAACAATTCTCACTGTTAGAAAAAGTCAATGGTGTCAGAGTGTATACGACAGGACCTATACATTACTAGCATGTCTAACCCCACAGCTCTCGCTGCCATCTAAGCACATTATTACAACACTACACTCTAAGAAAAAAAGGTGCTATCTAGAACCTAAACGGTTCTTCGGCTGTCCCTATAGGATAACCCTTTGAAGAACCCTATTTGGTTCCAGGTAGAACCCTTTTGGTTCCAGTTGGAATATTTTGGGGTTCCATGTAGAACCCTTTCCACAGAGGGTTCTACATGGAACCCAAAAGGGTTCTACCTAGAACCCAAAAGGTTTCTACCTGGAACCAAAAAGGGTGCTCCTATGGGGACAACCAAAGAACCCTTTGTGAACCCTTTTTTCTAAGAGTGTACAAGATGTCCGGCCATTTATGAGAACTTTCCGTGTTTCCCTGGAATACAGCATGGCAGACTGTGCCTGTTTGTGATTTAATATGCGTAGGGTCCTTCCCTCTGTCTGATAGACTGTACCTGTTTGTGATTTAATATGCGTAGGGTCCTCCCCTCTGTCTGATAGACTGTACCTGTTTGTAATTTAATATGCGTAGGGTCCTCCCCTCTGTCTGATAAACTGTACCTGTTTGTGATTTAATATGCGTAGGGTCCTCCCCTCTGTCTGATAGAATACATAGGGCATGCTGTAATACCCCATCCAGCTGACGACTACTTTATAACTTTTTTATAAAGTGAACACCATGTCCCCCTGAAAGTATTTATATTGATAAGTACCACTATTAGCAGTTCTTAAATGAGGATCTATAGAAAGTCTGGGTTGACAGGTAATATTGTGTACCAGCCAGGGACCAGGGCTATTAGGAGTTGAATAGCTCGCTATTACTGGGAGGAGAAAAAGTCTGTCCTTGAGTTAAGAGTGATGCAAGACTCTTTGTGGTTTGTTTTTCTATAGCTGTGGTAGCATCACCACAGTGGATTAAAACATTATGGGAGCAGAGAGACTCATCATTATCACTATACTGTTATCATGTATTGACTGATTGATTTAATTTATTTGATAATTAGAAGTAGAACGCTGCTCCAGCCGTAGACAACAACACATAGAGTTCTTCATTCCAATTGTAAGTCGCTCTGGATAAGAGTGTCTGCTAAATTACTTAAATGTTAAATGTAATGGTTGGTTTGTGAGCCCCAAATCAGGGCACCCCCAAATGTTTTTGAATAAAATGGGCACCCTCAAAAGCATCAAAAGATATCATCCAATCGACTATTTGGCTACTATTTCAGGGCACTTTTATTAGGCTAAACCCAAAGGAAAAGAAATATTTGAACCGTGCATTTGGTAAATAAACCTTGACATTTCAGTGGGCTAAAGCCATTGCCATTCAATTCTGCTGATCAAACGCAAATCAAATCAACGTTTATTGGTTGCGTACACAGATTTGCAGAAGTTATCGCAGGTGCAGTGAAATGCTTGTGTTTCTAGCTCCAACAGTGCAGTAATACCTAGTAATAACATTTTTAAAAAACAATACACACACAATCCAGAAAATAAGAAATAAATAAAAAATTAAGAAATGTCAGAGACCGGAATATAAATATATTTACATATAATGGAGTGTAAAGACAGTATGGAGAGTATATGAACACAAAAGGTGTATGCAGCCGTAGTTACAGTACATAGGATGAGCCACGACTAGAATACAGCATATTCATATAAAGTGGGTAAAACAGTATGTCAACATTATTAAAGTGACCAGTGTTCAATGACTATGTACATAGGGCAGCAGTCTCTAAGGTGCAGGGTAGAGTACCGGGTGGTAGAACAGTGACTAAACTGTAGGGATTAGAGACACCAACCCTGTATAAACACATTTAATATGTAATTGGACAAAATACTCACTGATGTCCATGCCATGTGTTACAGTAGCTGTCGTTGGACATTCTTCCGGCACTAATGGAATCATAAAACAATCAGTGGCTTCAATTTCTACTGTAAACATGTGATGGCGTGGGGACCTTAGGTCATTCTACATCAACCAACTCTAGATTGGCTGTTATTTCGGGAGCGTTCGGGGTTGATGGCCTTTTTAATATTGGAAGTACAGTGGGGAAAAAAAGTATTTAGTCAGCCACCAATTGTGCAAGTTCTCCCACTTAAAAAGATGAGAGAGGCCTGTAATTTTCATCATAGGTACACGTCAACTAAAATCACATTGTAGGATTTTTTATGAATTTATTTGCAAATTATGGTGGAAAATAAGTATTTGGTCACCTACAAACAAGCAAGATTTCTGGCTCTCACAGACCTGTAACTTCTTCTTTAAGAGGCTCCTCTGTCCTCCACTTGTTACCTGTATTAATGGCACCTGTTTGAACTTGTTATCAGTATAAAAGACACCTGTCCACAACCTCAAACAGTCACACTCCAAACTCCACTATGGCCAAGACCAAAGAGCTGTCAAAGGACACCAGAAACAAAATTGTAGACCTGCACCAGGCTGGGAAGACTGAATCTGCAATAGGTAAGCAGCTTGGTTTGAAGAAATCAACTGTGGGAGCAATTATTAGGAAATGGAAGACATACAAGACCACTGATCATCTCCCTCGATCTGGGGCTCCACGCAAGATCTCACCCCGTGGGGTCAAAATGATCACAAGAACGGTGAGCAAAAATCCCAGAACCACACAGGGGGACCTAGTGAATGACCTGCAGAGAGCTGGGACCAAAGTAACAAAGCCTACCATCAGTAACACACTACGCCGCTAGGGACTCAAATCCTGCAGTGCGAGACGTGTCCCCCTGCTTAAGCCAGTACATGTCCAGGCCCGTCTGAAGTTTGCTAGAGTGCATTTGGATGATCCAGAAGAGGATTGGGAGAATGTCATATGGTCAGATGAAACCAAAATATAACTTTTTGGTAAAAACTCAACTCGTCGTGTTTGGAGGACAAAGAATGCTGAGTTGCATCCAAAGAACACCATACCTACTGTGAAGCATGGGGGTGGAAACATCATGCTTTGGGGCTGTTTTTCTGCAAAGGGACCAGGACGACTGATCCATGTAAAGGAAAGAATGAATGGGGCCATGTATCGTGAGATTTTGAGTGAAAACCTCCTTCCATCAGCAAGGGCATTGAAGATGAAACGTGGCTGGGTCTTTCAGCATGACAATGATCCCAAACATACCGCCCGGGCAACGAAGGAGTGGCTTCGTAAGAAGCATTTCAAGGTCCTGGAGTGGCCTAGCCAGTCTCCAGATCTCAACCCCATAGAAAATCTTTGGAGGGAGTTGAAAGTCCGTGTTGCCCAGCGACAGCCCCAAAACATCACTGCTCTAGTGGAGATCTGCATGGAGGAATGGGCCAAAATACCAGCAACAGTATGTGAAAACCTTGTGAAGACTTACAGAAAACGTTTGACCTGTGTCATTGCCAACAAAGGGTATATAACAAAGTATTGAGAAACTTTTGTTATTGACCAAATACTTATTTTCCACCATAATTTGCAAATAAATTCATTAAAAATCCTACAATGTGATTTTCTGGAATTTTTTTCCTCATTTTGTCTGTCATAGTCGACGTGTACCTATGATGAAGATTACAGGCCTCTCTCATCTTTTTAAGTGGGAGAACTTGCACAATTGGTGGCTGACTAAATACTTTTTTTCCCCACTGTACGACTCATGGCTCATATAAAATATAGGCCCACATGAAAAAATACTACAGTTTACTATAGAATACTACAGTATTTACTATAGAATTATATAGTAAACTGTAGTATGCTGTTGAATACTACACTACACACTGTATTATCCCTCGATCATGTATTACTAACTATAGAATATTGTAGTATACTGTAGAAGACTACATGTAAATACAACAATATTATCAGTTAAAAAACTCTGCAGTAAATACTACAGTAATGTCTGCAAAAACACTACATTCTCCAAAACCACAACACTTTTTTAACTACAGTAAATACCACAGAATTTTACTTGCATATACGCTGCCCATTCCCCTCCCCCATAACGCAATTTGTGCCACCCATAAGTGAGAAACCTACATACCAAGTATTTACCATATTGTGTTCCCTACAGGTTACTGAACTCTCTGTTCAGAACTAACTAACTAACTAACTAACTAACTAACTAACTAACTAACTAACTAACTAACTAACTAACTTACTAACTATTTTAGTTTTTCTCCAGTAGGTTTCCTGAAGGAGGAAGCCACCACCTCTTTGTCAAAGATCATAAAACAAAAACACTATAGTAAATACTACAGTAATGTCTGCAAAAACACTACAATAAATATTACATTGTAAACTAGGTGGTTCGAGCCCTGAATGCTGATTGGCTGACAGCTGTGGTATATCAGACTGTATACCACGAGTATGACAAAACATTTATTTTCACTGCTCTAATTACGTTGATAACCAGTTTATAATAGCAGTAAGGCACCTCGGGGGTTTGTGGTATATGGCCAATATACCATGGCTGTATCCAGCACCTCTGCAAAACATGACTTAGTACTTGGTGGCAAAACCCTTGTTGGCAATCACAGAGGTCAGACGTTTCTTGTAGTTGGCCACCAGGTTTGCACAAATCTCAGGAGGGATTTTGTCCCACTCCTCTTTACAGATCTTCTCCAAGTCATTAAGGTTTCGAGGCTGACGTTTAGCAACTCGAACCTTCAGCTCCCTCCACAGATTTTCTATGGGATTAAGGTCTAGAGACTGGCTAGGCCACTCCAGGACCTTAATGTGCTTCTTCTTGAGCCACTCCTTTGTTGCCTTGGCCGTGTGTTTTGGGTCATTGTCATGCTGGAATACCCATCCACGACCCATTTTCAATGCCCTGGCTGAGGGAAGGAGGTTCTCACCCAAGATTTGACGGTACATGGCCCCGTCCATCGTCCCTTTGATGCAGTGAAAATGTCCTGTCCCCTTAGCAGAAAAACACCCCCAAAGCATAATGTTTCCACCTCCATGTTTGACGGTGGGGATGGTGTTCTTGGGGTCATAAGCAGCATTCCTCCTCCTCCAAACACGGCGAGTTGAGTTGATGCCAAAGAGCTCCATTTTGGTCTCATCTGACCACAACACTTTCACCCAGTTCTCCTCTGAATCATTCAGATGTTCATTGGCAAACTTCAGACGGGCCTATATATGTGCTTTCTTGAGCAGGGGGACCTTGCGGGCGCTGCAGGATTTCAGTCCTTCACGGCGTAGTGTATTACCAATTGTTTTCTTGGTGACTATGGTCCCAGCTGCCTTGAGATCATTGACAAGATCCTCCCGTGTAGTTCTGGGCTGATTCCTCACCGTTCTCATGATCATTGCAACTCCACGAGGTGAGATCTTGCATGGAGCCCCAGGCCGAGGGAGATTGACAGTTCTTTTGTGTTTCTTCCATTTGCGAATAATCGCACCAACTGTTGTCACCTTCTCACCAAGTTGCTTGGCAATGGTCTTGTAGCCCATTCCAGCATTGTGTAGGTCTACAATCTTGTCCCTGACATCCTTGGAGAGGTCTTTGGTCTTGGCCATGGTGGAGAGTTTGGAATCTGATTGATTGATTGCTTCTGTGGACAGGTGTCTTTTATACAGGTAACAAGCTGAGATTAGGAGCACTCCATTTAAGAGTGTGCTCCTAATCTCAGCTCGTTACCTGTATAAAAGACACCTGGGAGCCAGAAATCTTTCTGATTGAGAGGGGGTCAAATACTTATTTCCCTCATTAAAATGCAAATCAATTTATAACATTTTTGACATGCGTTTTTTTCTGGATTTTGTTGTTGTTATTTTGTCTCTCACTGTTCAAATAAACCTACCATTAAAATTATAGACTGATCATTTCTTTGTCAGTGGGCAAACGTACAAAATCAGCAGGGGATCAAATACTTTTTTCCCTCACTGTATACCCAGCCATCACCCTGCCTTGAGATGTATTATCATGGAGTACAATGAAAGGGGTGAGAGAGATGAATGTCTTCCTTTTCAGTGCCATAGCCCACACAGGAGAATGAGAGAGAAAGAGAGCTGCGAGAGAGAGTGTGAGCGAGTCAGAGTGAGAAAGAGTGTGAGTGTGTGTGTGTGTGTGTGTGTGTGTGTATGTGTGTGTGTGTGTGTGTGTGTGTGTGTGTGTGTGTGCCTGTGTGTTCCTATGTGACACTTGGCTTTCTCCATGACCTTTCCTTCTTCACCACTGGCGATTCCCATTAAACATAACAAAAGAGCATATTTCCTCCCAGAGAAGCCAGACATAATCTCCCCTCCATCTCTACATCCTCTCATCCCCAGCTCTCTCTCTCTCTCTCTCCCCAAGCTCCAACCGTCTCCTTAATTTTCATCAGCACCATCATCACTTTAAAAAAGGCTCTCTTCTCCCTAATCTCCCTCACTTTACTCACCTACCATGGAGGAGTAGGGCTTTAAATATAAATACCACAATAAGAGAACGCGCAAAAAGGGGAGTTTTAGTGAAGTTACTGAAGCAGGTCTGGGGGAGGAATTTGAGGCATTAATCTACGGCACGTGGGAAAGAGTTGAGCACCTTAGAGTCAGCTCCCCACTTCAGTTGTTAATCTCCTCGCTCTCTGAGTAGCTACGTTTCATCTGGAGTCAAACTTCAGCAGTGGAGGCTCCTCAGAGGAGGAAGGGGAGGACCATCCTCCTCAGTGAATTTAATAAAAATAAAAATAGTGAAACATTAAAGTTATCCGTTTTTAGATAAAACTATATTAAATATATTCAAATAATTGATTAAAACACTGTTTTGCAATGGTCTAAAGTAGCCTCAGCAGCACTCTGTAGGTCAGCACTATGGTGTAGCCGGAGGACAGCTAGCTTCTGTCCTCCTCTGGGTACATTGACTTCAATACAAAACCTTGGAGGCTCATGGTTTTCACCCCCTTCCATAGACTTACACAGTAATTATGACAACTTCCGGAGGACGTCCTTCAACCTATCAGAGCTCTTGCAGCGTGAACTGACATGTTGTCCACCCAATCAAAATAGAATGAATCTAGTACTGAAAGCATAAGCTACAGCTAGCAGTGAAAGTTTAAAAAAATACAACCAAATATAGCTAGCTCTCTCTCTCGCTCTCTCTCTCTCTCGCTTCTCCTTAATTTTGGAAGAAATTAATTTGTTCAAAACAGTTTAACTATTGTCGTTCTCTCTTTGAGTCAACTACTCACCACATGTTATGCACTGCATTGTTACTTTCACTTAGCTAGAGAATGCAGCTAGCTAGTTTAGCCTACTCAAACACCTGGCTCAAACAGAGATGGATGCTATGTTAGTTAGCTGGCTATGGCTATCCAACACTGGAACTCTTCCAAGTCAAGGTAAGCATTTGGTTTTATAAATGTATTGCCAACGGGGACCACCGGTATAACTGCTAAACTGCTTTCTGACTGTACACTGTACTGCATGATTCTAGCGGGTTTACTAACGTGTTAGTTCTAGTAGCTATGTTGACTATGACCTGACAACGATGTAGGCTGTGCATAGCGGTTATAGTGGTCATAATATGAAGGTTTGGCTTGGAAAGGTTTTTTCGCCTGGTCACAGACAGCTGATGTGTTGTGCACTAAAGTCCACAAGTGAAGGAAAGAGGTGAGAGGAGGAGAGTGCGTAGATAGTTGAGAGAATATATTACATATACAACGAGCAAAGTGATCACTCTGTTTTCATGAGGCTGTGATGAAAGTGAACTGTGTTTGAGTGTGATCAGGGGAGAATTCATTCCATCGATTCTGTTGAAAAACATTTCTTAAACGGTAGCAAACGGAACGAAACAGGGATAAAAATACCAGAATTTGTCCAATAGAAATTCACGTTTGCAACGGTTGGACTAATGATTACTCCCTAGATCAGCTAGATAGAGGCAAGAGTGTGCAAGGCGGTATTGAATGTGTCACTGTCTGTCTGTCACGACTTCCGCCGAGGCTGCCTCCCCTCCTTGTTCGGGCAGGTTTCGGCATTCGGCGTCACCGGCTTACTAGCTACTGCCGATCCATTTATCATCACTCCATTTGTCTTGTCTTCAATCACACACACCTGGTCCTTATTCCCTCATTAGTCATGGTATACAGTAAGTGTTCCCTCTGCTTCCTTGTCTGTGTGGGTGATTATTTGTTTGTGGAGGTTAGTGAAGCTCGGTGGAGCTCGTGTATTGTGTATTGACAGGAGTATTTTTTCCTTGTGCCTTGTATTTTCCAGTGCGCCTGTTTTGTGCCCTGGAGTGTGTTTGACGCATTTCTGCGTAAACCTGTATTTTGCGGATTAATTATTGTTATTATTTTTTATATTTTTTTGTCATTTTAGCAGACGCGACTTACAGTTAGTGAGTGCATACATTTTTTCATACTGGCCCCCTGTGGGAAACGAACCCACAACCCTGGCGTTGCAAGCGCCATGCTCTACCAACTGAGCTACACAGGGCCTGTTATTCTGTGATTTACCCTCCTGCGCCTGACTCACCACCTCATCACACTGTCACCTTGATTACTCAAAATTATTTACGTTGGAAACTTTCATTCATAGGCTAGGTTGTAGCAACCTCATAATGGGTACAGGGAAAATTTGAGTATCATGTAGTAGCCTAAACCTATTGATGTTACATTGAGCTGGGTGAATGGAATATGAATGACAGTCATCCAATATGCTGTAATAGAAATAAGGCCATGCTCATAAAAAAAGCACCGACCGCCACTGAACTTCAGATACTGATAGTCTGCAAACTCCAGATAGAAACCAGCAGACAAAATCAGCGGAGAGAATAGCTGTTTATGATGTTTTGTAGCATCAACAAAGAGGCCAAGCTGTGTATTAAATTATACATCAAATACGATCTTATGATCAAAATAGATATTGCATATGCATTAAATATGGCTGAATGTGCTAGTAACTGTTCATCTTACATGTGGGCTTGCTGCTGACTGCATGTGAGTGTATGCCAGGGATATTCAACTAGACTCAGCCACAGGCCGATTTCTTCTTGAATGGTTGGTCAGGGGGCCGGAACATAATTACAAATAATATGTAGATTGCAAATTGGCCGCAAGAAGCCCAAACAGAAATAATATTTGACTAAAGCATAATCATTTCAAACCTTGCTTACATGTGTATATGATCACATTTATCTCTACTATGCGAGGGAATACTTTGGAACAGATTTCCAAAATGAAAATCACTTGGAGTTGATTTGCTGGTGTTGTTACAGTCTTTTATGTCCAAAAATAATAAACAACATTATTTTGTACATTTTTTGCTCAGAAAAATTGGGGGGCCAAATAAAATCACGTGCCTGCAGACCGGCATTTGGAAAACCCTGATGTATGCCATAATTCATTAGATTCAAACTATGCAATCAGGCCACTTGAATAAACTATTCTGGTGTAGAGAGCCAGAGAGATCCTCTCATATAGGCTGCTGTATATCCATGTTCCTTATGCGTTATACACTTATGCTGTGATCTAGCTCTGGTACAGGGCGCTACATGTGCCTTGCTAACGCTGAGCCTTCCTAAGGCCTTCCCTGGACCAGAGCTAGCTGTGATCATTCAATGCCTCCCAAATCACCTTGCTTGGTACCACAGGGTCATCTGATGAATGGCCATTTGCAACTAGCACTTCAACTTTGGTTGCAATACCAATGCGATATAATATGACACAATAGACAATCTGAACCTTGATTATAGGCCTATCTTGATTAATCTTGTTCAAGTCAGCACATCACAAACATACGTAACAAATCCATATAAATTCACTCATACAGCTCCAGTCATACACCAAGTGTACACAAACAAGCACAAGTGAGCTATTAGCATTATCATGGCTATTAGCTTTTGATAAGAGTTCCTCAGCTGTGGAGGGGAACCTCCATGTTAAAATAGCGTGAGGGAGAAAAGAGAGTAAAGCGGAGGGGGCTAGCTAGGCTAACTAGAGAAGACAGCTATCCAGGTCCATGTTAATCCGTACCTAGGCTTTGTCAGTTCGGTGCAATGTTAAGAGATGAGGTGACTCAGCAACTCCTGTACCTGCGCTAACACGCTAAGATGCTAACATCGACCCCCTCCCCCAGCCAGGTCGATGGTCTCTCCCATCCACGGGTCGATCTGTGCACAACAGGGGGATTGAAAGTGAGTGGAAGGGGGGGGGCAATGCATAGGGCAGGGGTGTCAAACTTATTCCATGGATGGCATAGTGTCTCCTGGTTCCTTTCAATTAAGACCTAGACAACCAGGTGAGGGGAGTGCCTTCCTAATTAGTGACCTTAATTCATCAATCAAGTTCAAGGGAGGAGCAAAAACCCGCAGACACTCGTCCCTCCGTGGAATGAGTTTGACACGTGCCATAGGGGAATCATTTTAAGTTATCTGAAGAACCTTAATGGGATGGTCCTCTGTAGCTCAGCTGGTAGAGCACGGCGCTTGTAACGCCAAGGTAGTGGGTTCGATCCCCGGGACCACCCATACACAAAAATGTATGCACGCATGACTGTAAGTCGCTTTGGATAAAAGCGTCTGCTAAATGGCATATTATTATTATTAAACACCACACACACTCAACACCTTGTTTTATGCAAATAACGTGTTGGGCCTTATTTGCATATTTCCCTGGGTGCCTTTAGTGTGAATTTCCAGTACCAGCCATGACGGTGTTTGCAAGTGATAGAAACATGGTTGTTGCATTCATTCATTTTGAGTCCTGTAGCCTTCACCATATATATCTATATATATATATATATATATTTTAATCCCAGCCCCCGTCCCTGCAGGAGGCCTTTTGCCTTTTGGTAGGCCGTCATTGTAAATAATAATTTGTTATTAACTGACTTGCCTAGTTAAATAAATGTAAAAAAATCAAATAAAAATTTATAAAAACATCTAAACTGGAACAACCATTTCAGTAACAGGTGCAAACAGATTGGATTAGTTTAGATGTATGTTATTTATATTTGAGTAGCACAATTAATAAATCAATGAAAAACAGATATTGAAACAAACAACTCAAATCTACCTGCAATAGAGTATGCTTGGAAATATGATAATGATGAGCGTGGTTTTGGTTTAACTCTGGTTATTAAAACCAGCACTGGGGTTCTTTTACATCACTGTTAATTTAATTCTTTACAGTATTCATTTAACTCATGGACTTCAAAAATTAGAAATGTTAGACTGAAAAATCAAGACTAGTTAACACTGGCCAATTTGCTGTGTGCTACAAAAGGCATACATCTGCAGGCTTCCATACATTTTAAGAACCTTTTAGAATTCTGAAGAACCGTAGATGCCACGTCAAGAACCCCCCACTTAACTCAAAGGTTCTTTATCGAGCAAGAGTTCTCCAAGGAACCTGAAGAGCTGAGGAAGAACCATTTAAGAAACTTCTTTTTTTTTCAGTGTACACTATGCTCTCAAATAGCATTAAGTGCAACTCTAATTTCTACAGTGATAACAATCCCTAAACAAGATATCTGCGTCTGTCACGCCCTGACTCTGGGGACTCTTATTTGTTGAGCCAGGGTGTGATTTTCTATGTTTGTGATCTAGGTTTTCTAGATCTATGTTGGCAGGTGTGGTTCCCAATCAGAGGCAGCTGTCGCTCGTTGTCTCTGATTGGGGACCATACTTAGGCAGCCTATTGGCACTAGTGGGTTGTGGGATCTTGTTCTGTGTAAGGTATGTTGTTTGTGTCTACCTTGGACTTCACGTTTCGTTTTGTTTTGTTTTGTTTCGTTTGTTGTTTTGTCGTTGTGTTTATTCGGTATAATAAACATGTATGCATATCACGCTGCGCCTTGGTCTGACCCGTCTATGAACGAATGTGAAAGCGTCATTTAGTCCAGTGAGGTTTGAGAAAGACCCTGGAATCCTCATTGCATAACACAAGAATGTAAAAATACAGTGTCATTAAAATGCTACGCAAATGACGTGATTGCACTTAAATGTTACGACAATAACAACAACAATCATTTCGCTACTCTCGCAATAACATCTGCTAACCATGTGTATGTGACCAATACATTTTATTTTATTTGATAATTATTACGACATTCCAAAAGACTCCCAAAAGTTGTCCTAACTTGTTTTTGGTGGTGGGGTGCGACATTCCCCGGAAGATAAATGACAGTGTTGGGGATTAACTTGGTGTTGTTGCTTTACTCGCATGAAATATGAATTTAGGTACTGTATTTTCAAAGTTTAAAAGCCTCGTACACCGTGGAGGGATTGCCTCCAAACCCAGGAAGCATTTACAGTTTTTTACCCCCGCATTCTGGTAGACAACCTTAAATTGTCCACTTTATCTCAATAAATAATGCATGTTCATTGTAATGTATTATTTCATATTTCTCTCTTCCTGAACAATTGGATATGCAGATAAACAGGTTAATTCATTCATGCAAATCAAATTAACCTTTTTGGTCACGCACAGGATACACTGAAATGCGGATATCAGGTACTGTATATGTAAACAAATATAGATAAAAAACAGATCGGAGTTAATTTCAGTTAAATGTTGTCATATTATCTCTTTCCTTCTCTTGATATTCTTAGATGGACATCCTAATTAGATTTGAGACCCAATCAGAGGAAAGCATTCTGTCAAATGAGTTGGTCTGTTTCCGAATGTATTTTATAGGAGCCCTGGGGGAGTTCCTTTTTAGCCTTCAATAAATCCATGTGGCCTTTGTCACACACACACACACACACACAGTGGCCAGTTTATTAGGTACATTCAAGAAAATGGTACGCTCCTCCAGACAGTGATTCACGTGGCCGTGGCTTTCTATATAAAGCAGGCAGACAGGGATCGAGGCATTCAGTTACTGTTCGATTGAATGTTAGAATGGGCAAAACAAGTGACCTAAGAAACCGCCGGCCTCCTGGGCTTTTCACGCATGACAGTGTCTAGTTTTTGCCGAGAACTGTGTGACAAACAAAAAGCATCCAGTCAGCGGCAGTCCTGTGGGCGAAAACAGCTTGTTGATGAGGGAGGTCGAAGGAGAATGGCAAGAATCGTGCACGCTAACAGGCACGCCACAAACAGGCAAATAACGGCGCAGTACAACAGTGGTGTGCAGAACGGCATCTTGGTACACACAACTTATAGGTCCTAGTCACAGATGGGATATTGCAGCAGATGACCACACTGGGCTATTGCAGCATTCGACCAAACCTTTCTGGTTTTCTCAATTTTTGCACCCTATGCTTTGACTTCTTTCTCCCCTCTCTCTCCAGATGAAATTATTATTATTATTATTATCTTGCAACTTGTGACGGCCGGCCGCCCAACAACCTGCCCGCTTGACCCTTTCCCCTCCTCTCTTCTCCAGACCATTTCCGGAGACCTTCTCCCTTACTTCACCTTGCTCATCAACTCATCCTTGACCACTGGCTATGTCCCTTCCATCTTCAAGAGAGCGAGAGTTGCACCCCTCCTCAAAAAACCTACACTCGATCCCTCCGATGTCAACAACTACAGACCAGTATCCCTTCTTTCTTTTCTCTCCAAAACTCTTGAGCGTGCCATCTCTAGCCAACTCTCCTGCTATCTCTCTCAGAATGACCTTCTTGATCCAAACCAGTCAGGTTTCAAGACTGGTCATTCAACTGAGACTGCTCTTCTCTGTGTCACAGAGGCTCTCCGCACTGCTAAAGCTAACTCTCTCTCCTCTGCTCTTATCCTTCTAGACCTATCTGCTGCCTTTGATACTGTGAACCATCAGATCCTCCTCTCCACCCTCTCCGAGTTGGGCATCTCCGGCACTGCTCACTCTTGGATTGCATCCTACCTGACAGGTGGCTCCTACCAGGTGACATGGCGAGAATCTGTCTCCACACCACGTGCTCTCACCACTGGTGTCCCCCGGGGCTCAGTTCTAGGCCCTCTCCTATTCTCTCTATACACCAAGTCACTTGGCTCTGTCATATGCTCACATGGTCTATCCTATCATTGCTACGCAGACGACACACAATTAATTTTCTCCTTTCCCCCTTCTGATAACCAGGTGGCAAATTGCATCTCTGCATGTCTGGCAGACATATCAGTGTGGATGTCGGATCACCACCTCAAGCTGAACCTCGGCAAGACGGAGCTGCTCTTCCTCCCGGGGAAGGACTGCCCGCTCCATGATCTCGCCATCACAGTTGACAACTCCATTGTGTCCTCCTCCCAGAGTGCAAAGAACCTTGACATGACCCTGGACAACACCCTGTCGTTCTCCACTAACATCTTGTCGTCTCCCGTCTGGATTACTGCAACTCGCTGTTGGCTGGGCTCCCTGCCTGTGCCATTAAACCCCTACAACTTATCCAGAACGCTGCTGCCCGTATGGGTGTTCAACCTTCCCAAGTTCTCTCATGTCACCCCGCTCCTCCGCACACTCCACTGGCTTCCAGTTGAAGCTTGCATCTACTACAAAACCATGGTGCTTGCCTACGGAGCTGTGAGGGGAACGGCACCTCCTTACCTTCAGGCTCTGATCAGACCCTACACCCAAACGAGGGCACTACGTTCATCCACCTCTGGCCTGCTAACCCCCCTACCTCTACGGAAGCACAGTTCCCGCTCAGCCCAGTCAAAGCTATTCGCTGCTCTGGCACCCCAATGGTGGAACAAGCTCCCCCACGACGCCAGGACAGCGGAGTCACTGACCACCTTCCGGAGACACTTGAAACCCTACCTCTTTAAGGAATACCTGGAATAGTATAACTGTAATCTTTCTACCCCCCCCCCCCCCCCCCCCCCATAAAAAAATAATTATAAATGTATGCACCAATTTGTAAGTCGCTCTGGATAAGAGCGTCTGCTAAATGACTTAAATGTAAATGTAATACTGAATGTTATCAGATCTTCAACCAAACCAAATATTAGATAAAGGGAACCTGAGTTTACAAATAACAAACTAATATTTTATTCATTGAATTAACAAAGTTATGCAACACTCAATAACTGGTTGTGTCACCTTTAGCTGCAATGATTGCAACCAAATGCTTCCTGTAGTTGTTGATCAGTCTCTCATATCGCTGTCGAGGAATTCTGTCCCACTCTTGCATGCAGAACTGCTTTAACTCAGTGACATTTCTGGGTCCTGCCACAAGTCCTGCCACAACATTTCAATTGGGATTAGGTCTGGACTGTTGTTTTTTTGCCATGTTCATGTAGACTTGATTGTGTGTTTTGAATCATTGTCTTGCTGCATGACCCAGCTGCACTTCAGCTTCAGCTCACAGATGGATGGCCTGACATTCTCTTGTAGAATTCTCTGATACAGAACAGAATTCATGGTTCCTTCTATTAAGGCAAGTTGTCCAGGTCCTGAGGCAGCAAAGCATCCCCAAACCATCACTCTACCACAACCATGCTTGACCATTGGTATGAGGTTCTTACAGTGGAATGCAGTGTTTGGTTTTCTCCAGGCATAATGGGACCCATGTCGTCCATAATGGGACCCATGTCATCTGTGTTCTTAATGTTTTGAACACTCACTGCCCATACTACACACATACTATTGCCTTATTGCTCTAGTATTCTACCTACTAATTTTCATTGCACTGTTGAGGAACCTCACAAGTAAGCATTTCCTGTGCATATGACAGATAAACTTTGATTTGATTTGTGTTGTCATGCCGACATAAACAGGGAAACAATACAGTGTGTTAGAGAGCCGTATTAACCAGGAGGAAGGTCAGAGTTATGATTAGCCTGACCCCAATCACCTCTAATACAACCTCCCCAATTAGATCAGAATTAATGTGATACTTAACTACATTAATGATTACATGTTCAGACAACCTTAATAGGAGGAAAATGCCAAAAGGGTAGCAAAGGCACCTGTTCTCCTCTGTCTCTCTCTCTCTCTCTCTCCTCCTCTCTCTCCTCTCTCTCCTCCTCTCTCTCTCTCTCTCTCTCTCTCTCCCCTCTCTCTCTCTCTCTCTCTCCTCTCTCTCCCTCATCTCTCTCTCGCTTCTCTCTCTCCTCCTCTCTCCTCGTCTCTCTCTCTCTCTCCCCTCATCCCCATCTTCTCTCTCTCTCTCTCTCTCTCCCTCCCTCTCCTCTCTCTCAGTCTCTCTCTCTCTCTCTCGTCTCTCTCTCCCTCTCTCTCTCTCCTCCCTTCCTTCCTTCCTTCCTCCTTCCTCCTTCCTTCCTTCCTTCCTTCCTTCCTTCCTCCCTTCCTTCCCTTCATCTCTCATGTCAGCCCAGTCAGGGATAACTCTCTGTTCAGTATAAGTGACACTCAGATTTAAGCCGTCTCACAAGGTACCTTAATCCTTAAGAGGCGGGCGAAGATCACATGGTTAAAGATATCAGGGTGATATCCTCACGCTTCGCCCACCTGCGCTATCTGAGCTGACTTGCCACACAAACGCACACAAATGTGCACAAATACACGCACACGAGTAGGGGTGGGCGAACACAGGTCCCCGACATGCCCTTTTCACAGGCAGAGTAAGGCACTCTCACTAGCCCCCCCCCCCCCCACCCCTCTCTACTGTAATGTACAACACCTCTGAATTGGCAGAAGAAAGCAGCATGACCAGCCTAAAAGTTGAAGGCATAACACCGCGTGGGAGTAACAGAGAAGGTGATGTCTCACTCTCCCTTCATCCTCTTTTTTTCTGTCTCCCTTTGTTTTGCTCTCTTTCTCTGTCACTCTCTCTCTCTCCCTCCATTTTCCCTCTGCCAGGGGCTGGTTTGTTGCTGTTTCTACATCACGATCTGGGCTCCTGTTCTCCAGCAGCACAGTTTGGCTGGTCCCTCTAAGGGTCCTCCTAACCCACACTCTGCCAATCTCTAAATGGTGTGGGAGGGAGAGGAGAAGAGAGAGAGGAAAAGCCTGAATCTCTGATCAGAGATGAATATTTGTAGATCAGTAGCAGAGTGTGTTCCAGTCAGGACTGGTTCTGGTTTAGAACCTAACACCAAGCTGGTCCTGGTTTAGAACCTACACAGTTGAAATTTCATTTAGAGCAAGTGTATGTATCATATGTATTTCACTGTGAAATACCCCAGATACTTATACAAAACAACAACAACAACAATAACAACTCAGGAACAAACTATTTCATATTAGACTACTGAGATCTACAGTATCGGGCTCTTGAAGAGATACAATACAAATGCTTTTGCCTGTCTCAGTTTCTGTCTCGCTATCAAACACCCACTCCTTCACCCCCCAACACACACTCATCCCCCACACTGCCTCCCTCTCTCCCCCCCTCACCTCTCTCCCCTCGGGGGGCTCCCCCCCGGGCCTGGGTTTGTCGCCGTCCCAGGAGCGGCCGGGCGGCGGCGGCTTGGGCGACTGCCGTAGCATGAGAGCGATAGAGAGTCTGTCGTTGGTGTTGGCGTGTTGGGATTGGAGCAGCACGTTGAGCAGCTTCAGGACCAGTGGCACGACCATGTTCTTCAGCACCTCGCCACCGTGGGGTTGCCATGGAGACCACCGCTGCCCCCGCTGGCTCCATCCGGGACTTTACCAAAAGCCACGACCACCGAAACCACGTGGCCCAGGTGTGTGGGCACCCCTGACTCTGCTCCGCGCCGGGCACACATATCGAAGGTCCTGGCTGGAACGGGCATCAAGTCATTCCCTGGTTATCCCCACTCCTCCTCTTCCCATCTTCCTCTCTTCTACACCCCCGACCGGCACAGTACACCAACATACAGCTCGGTCGTCTCTCGCCTCAGTGGAAAGAGAACCTCTGCGTCTCTATTCCTTCTCTCCTCTCTTAGCTCGTCCTCATGCTGGCTTGGTTTCCTGGGAGTCAGTCTCTCTGATCATCGGCACTTTTTAGAATTTCTCAATGAGTTTTTGGAGTGTTTGTTCAGCAAGCCCCGGCTGCTGCTCGCTCCTCTGCTACTGGAGGATGAATAATTTAATAATACAGCTGTGGCTCTTGGGCAAGAGGAACGGAGAGAGAGAGAGAGAGAGAGAGAGAGGAGAGAGAGAGAGATGAGAGACGAGAAGAG